ATGAACCTTTGAAATATAAATTAAATGTAGCGAGCCATGAGAGTCACAGCGCACGGACGCAGCTCCGGTAAGGATTCTTATTGTGTGTGTGAACAAGCAGCGAGGACACACACAGAACATTTAGTTCTAGTTTCTATTATTCATATCTGAATATAACAACCCAATAAATACTACAGAGGAAACGGAAACACTGAAAATATGAGCGTCGGCAAAAATCCATCCGCCTTACGCCCTCATCATGAAATTAAAACGTTATCGTTTTCTGAGGTCAGAATGATTATATATTATAGGTCTATATATGTGACCCGCTCTATCGAAATCAGTCGGAAGTCGCAATGGCTCATTTAAAAATAAACGTGGATTTGCGTACAAAACTAGTTTTTTCGGGGTTCGGGTGTTTTGTTTGATTTTAAAATAAACAAAGTGTTGGCTTTCAGAATATGACATTTTTATTTCCAAAATCACCACGATAAATACATTTTTGAAGCTTGTAAAGGGAAGATGGCACCTCTCACTCGCCACTCTGCTCTTCCGCAGCGCCGCTTCCCCTCCCTCCGGCTGAAATTATGAATGTAAGCATATAGTCGTCATAGATAACACGGCAGGGTCCGTTACAGTTTGTTTTCATCTGATTTCAATTAAACAAAGTCTTGGCTTTCAGATATGAAACTTGTTTCGGCAAATTTAGATGATAATACAACTTTGAAGCTTGTAACGGCATAATTACAAGCGGAGAACGGAGTAACTTGACGTCACAGCAGGCATAACAACACAGCCGGTGTTTCTCGTGAGTGTTTTCCTCGGGAACAAACACAATACACACAAACGCAAAATACACAAACACACACACGTATACACACACACTCGGTGAGCTTCCCCCAGAGCAGTAATCAAAACGAAATATCTTCCCTCCGTATTATTTTGATCATTTGCTAATAATCAATCAGATCGATGGATTCCAGAGAAGAGGAAACTTTGAAGGGCCTTTTTCTCAAAATGATGACTCGGTGACGGTCATTATATAAAGTGACATATTTCGCTTACTATTTGGAGTACAAAAACAATCCTGATATCATTAGAAAGCTAGGAATCTCCTCTTTCCAACAGTGTATACAACTCAAAATGTGTCTTTGGGTCAATGCGACTGATTTCGATGGAACAGGTCACATATGTTGATACAAAGCTAGGCTACTTACTGTCTGACTCACTGCAGCTGTTTTCCTCCGAATCTGAGAAAGTAACACACGTTGAGGGGATAATTAAGCTCTGTGTTTTGTTATGAAGCCGGCATTCAGGAAGCTGTGCTTTGATGCGTGGATATGGAGGAGACTTTTTGCCGTCGTAGTTTGCATGTCACCTTGTGGGACTCGTTCCTTTACTCGCTCAGAAAGATCCACACTTTAGATTTCCTGCCCGACCATTTTAACTTAATGTACAGGCTCCGCTCTGAATGAAGTCTGAGGGGGTTTCCAAGCTGACGCGTCATAGCACATGCAGCGAGGTTTTATTTTGTATTTGTATATAATTGTTTTTTTTTCAACTAACCGACTAATGAAAAATTGCTCAGTTAAGACTTAATTAGTCTTCTAGTGATTAATCGACTATTTTGGGGCAGCCCCTAGTGTGTAGTCAGTATATTTGAAATGGCTAGGGTTAGCTATGTTAGCTACAGTAGCTAGCTTACAGCAGATCTGCAATAATATCAGAAGGAATCATAAGATCACATTGGTAAAAATAAGCAGATAAAAGCAGACATTTGAGGTAAGTTTCCAGTGACAGTTGGCCAACTTTACAATTCCCCATCAACAAGCGCTCCGGGTCCCAGCTGTGTGCATCACTTTCTAGTGTCCCTGTTGTGTTTTGAGCTTCTTGCAGCGTTTTGTTTATGCAGCGCTCTTCATAACCCCTGCGCATGTGTATTCAATGCCACCATGTTTGATATCTGGTTCAGTTTCAGGAAGTAAAAAATACTAACCATTTGGGACTATTGGACCGTAGCATGGATATGGTTTAGGAAAGATCACAGCCATGGTTCCAAAACCTTAACTATTATTCGAGTGTGAAACACATATTGTATCTGTCCGAGAGAGGAAGTCGGTCTTTTTCACTTTCTTCCTGATCAAGCTAAAAAACGTATTTCCCCAAGTGGACAAATAAAATACATTATTATTCTTATTATGTTTTTCCAAACTAATTTAACAGAATGAAAAGTGAAACCATCCGCAGTGAGCTGAAGTAAGACAAGCACTTTTAATGTCATTTCAAATTTGATGAAGGGTTATAGAGTCTTGGTCTGTCATATGGGGAAAAAACAACTGGGTTCAAGTGAGGACAGCTGGTAACAGCTGGTTTATCCAAAATCTAATTACTCACTTTGATATGATTTCTTTGTTCCTGTTAATGTCATTGTACTTGACCAGTAACACTTTTGTATCCCAAATCTATCCATCTTATCTGCTTCATACATTTATCTTTCTTTATCAGGTTCCAATTTTTGATTTTTGTTACAAAGCACTTCATCAAAACAGACACAAACTGCCTCACAAAATAAATTAAATCATGACATGAAACACTAACCTTGACAATACAGTATACCTAATGCACAATAATGGAAACAATTCAAGTAGCATTAACAATAGTAGCATTTCTAGAAAAAAGTAGAAGTTGAGTAGTAGCAATAGCATTAGTAGACATGGTATTAGTGTAAGTTAGATGCAGATGCAATAATACAAGCAGAGTTAGAAATGGCCATAATTGGATTAGTAGTAGAGGGGAAAAAAGTACCTCAGATCATGTACTTAAAGGGGACCTATCATGCAAAATGCACTTTTTTTATGTATTTTATACATAAATATGTGTCCCCGGTGTGTCAGGGAACTCACGCAGCGTCAGAAAAATAAAACCCCTCTCTCTTTTCCTCCGTAAATCTCTAAAAACAGGGGTACAACGGAGCTGATCCAGATTTGCGTCTGATATGACGTAATATCGGAAATGTAGGGCTGGCTTTACACCCACCGGCCCTATCAGAAACGTTGCTATCAGAAACAATGCCCGACTGTTTTTGGACGTAATATGGTCGGTGCATGTTACATTAGCATCGCTAACACTCAGAGCTAACCTGTACTGCACAGAGCATGTGTGTGAAGAAGCAGGAAATAAAAAGGAACTCACCTTGTGGTACAGTATAACCGGCAAGAGAGAAAGCCTTTGAGCCTCCATACTGTTTCAGAAATAATCCTTGATAATCCATGATATGGCGTTTCATCACCGCAGTATCTGCCGGTAGAATCTCCCGCATGAGCTCAGCCCCCTCCTTTTTTTATCACATTTTTTTTTTTAAAGCTTTATACCCCAAATCAGCACTTTTGAAACAGGAAGTGAAATGAGGGATATGAGGCATGGCTAGAATGGGTGAATCTGTTTGGTATTTTTGAGCAAAACACTTCATAGACATGTTTTTATATATTTTTATATATCTGAGACCTACCTACCTGGCCACCTATCATGCTATTGCCTAAAAATAGCAATGATAGGTGCACTTTAAGTAAAAGTAGAACTACAAGTCTAAACATACTCTGTTACAAGTAAAAAGTCCTGCAATCAACATCTAATTCAAGTAAAAGTTCAAAAGTATTAGCATCAAAATATAGTTAAAGGTAGGGGTACTGTAGGTAAGTTTGAGAAACCGGCTCGAGATACACTTTTTGTTATATTCCATGGAATGCTCTTAACATCCTGATAGCAATGAATATCTGAAGTGCTTTGACAAAAAAATCCATAAAAAAATGTCATCTGTGGAAGCCGTAATACTGTAAAAAGCACGACCAATCATTTTAGCCGGCCCGGCTAAAATAACCTGGATGGCCTACCTGCCTGTCAGCCTTCCATCTGTGCACAAACTTATCTCGTGCCCTCATTGGTCATGTGCGCGTTCGTGTGTGTTGGAGGAGGGGCTCTCTAAGGAAGTGGCAGATTTTCTCCGGTTGTGTATTTTCAAATTCTAGCGATCTCGAGCCGGTTTCTCAAACTTACCTACCCTACCTTTAAAGTACCAAAAGTATAAGTACTAAAAGAGGAAGTAATCATCCTGCAGATTGGCCAATTTCAGAATAATATGTATCATGTGTTTTGATTATAGATATTAATGCATTAGAGTATGATTAAAGCTTGTGGTGGTAGAATAAATGCAGGAAAAGCAGCATTGTTAACAGTAGATGTGGCATTACCTTTTGTATTAGCAGTAAATGTTGCAGTGGGGCTGTAGTTTGAGAAACCTTTCGGTAATCAGAGGAACAGTATGTCCCTGTAACTGTACTAACGAACAGACTCCAAACTGGACCCATAATTTCATTCATTGGAACCAGGAGCTGCAACTTGCCCTGGGCTAGCCAAGGAGATCTGGCCTCAGTTTGGACGAAGTAGATTTTTACCAGGCCAAGATGGCTGCGCTGGCCTTGTACCCCAGCTTAGTCCTTCAGTTTTTCCTGGGATTCATTGGTCTGTCCCACGCCAAGTCAGATATGTAGTCCCTCTATTATGTTGCAGTCTGCACAAATGCAATGGACTCCCTCCAGTTGGATACATCCAGAATATGTTCCACAGGGCAGGGATCTGGATGACATCACCTCACTGTGTCCTAAAAGAGACACCTTCAATCAAAACATAAATGGAGGGTTAGGGTTTTGGGGGAAACGGGCTCTCTGGTTTTTAGTGGAGTCCAAGACTGATCTAACGGTTAATGTGCTTCACCTGGGATGGTAAATGAAGAACTGCGGAACCGAAATAACTGAGTCGTATAGACTCTTTATTTACCTTTTATTCGAAAATGTAATGGGTTCAAAATATAATCGTATTAAAGTGGCTAATACATAAAAAAAACATTTGGTTTTCCTTACTTAGTGGACTTTTATTTTGAAAGCCTTGCTCAAACACTTGAAAACCACCTAATACCCCGACCATACCCATAACTGTTGCAAATTCTGTCTTTTCTTTGTCCCCAGTAAACGTCCCAGCCACAGTGGTAGAAGCGATGACCAGGCAGGAGTCCCTTCAATCCTTCAGCAAGAACGGCAAACCTTCCTCCTCCTCGTCTTCCTCTTCGTCCATCCCCTCCACCGCACACATGCGCTCCATGGTCTTCCCCCATTCCCCCTGTCCAAGGAATTTCTCCCTGTTAGACAAGGTTGGGGTTGGGCTTTCCTCGGACTCCAGTTTCGGCCAGTTGGGGTTAAAGAACCAGCGAGTCCTGGCAAGCCCGACCTCCACCAGCCAGCTGAGCAGTGACTTCAGCGACTGGCACCTGTGGAAGTGTGGCCAGTGCTTCAAAACCTTCACTCAGAGGATCCTGCTGCAGATGCACGTGTGTCCGCAGAATCCAGACAGGTAAGACGACATCTATTGAGATGTTGGCGTCCATCTTTATTAACAAAATAAAGTTGGAGGTTATGTTACCTCTGTATGAGCAATGTGAATCCTAGATAAACTTATACATGGAACATTACCAACAAATTGCCCAAGAAGATGGTGTTCCCAATGTTTACCATCCACCTTTTCCCACTCAAGCATATCAACATGAAACAGTATTTGTAAGCGTTAGACTGGTAAATTGTATTGATTAGATAAACACTTCCTGCTCAACTGTTCGCTCCAGTGTGAGAATGAGAAAGACCTGATGATCTAACTTCCTATCTACACCACTTTTTTTTTAGCTCCGTAAAATGAAAATATAAAAACCGGCTCAATCAATTGTGTTGTACTCAAATGAAATATTGTCATATGAGTACATATCATTGTATCATATTTAAGTTTTGGACTCCATAGTTCAAAATTCTGAGTACAAACTTTGAGACAATAAAGATGACACTTAGTGATAATAATTATTTTTAAAAATGAGGATGTATTGGATTTTGACTACTAAAGAGTACATCAATCAGTGTGTGGGAGAGAAACTCCCTCTGGAGGGAACTTTGGGATTTTAGCCTTTGCAGACCATTTATATTCACACAAACCTAATAACACACTACAGGAAAGGGAAAACCCCTAAAAAGCACAATAGGGCCTCTTTAAGAAAGTGTTTTGAATAAATGTGATATGTATTTACAACATTGGAAGCCACTGTTACAGATGTATACAAATAGCCTATTTAGACAAAAGACTGAGAGGCTAAGATTGTTTCCTATAACTTGAAATGACTTGAGGGACAATTAAATTGTTTATTAATTGAATTATCTTTGGTAGGAAAACAAAATGACAGCCACACCACATCAGCGTTTGCACATCTTTTGTAATATATTCACGGACACTTCTATTAGCATCAACATGATGAACATGACACAGCATTCAAGTTCAAATCTGTTGTTGCAGTTTTTCAGAGGAAGCCGGTGTACCAGACATTTGATTTAGTCATTTGTTATTTGGTTGTCTCATCATCACACCGTTTGTGTGTGACAGAAAGTGGGAGTTAGTGGGTAAGAGTGAAGAGAGAGTAAAAGTGTCTGAGTGTGTATAACATCTGCCAACTTAATTATAGACAGCGGGGAGGGAGGAAGAAGAGATGTGATGTGTGTGTCTGCATTAGTGTATGTGTGTCGGGGGGGGGGGAAGGAGGATGTATTGGACATTTTTTGCTTAGCTTTATTTTTTGCGGGGAGAGTCCGAGTAGCGTATAAATCAACGCTGTGCGTCAGTGAGAAATACCTCGCCTTACGGTGACGGGGCCAGGAAAACAGATGCCACTTATTCAATAAACTAATACTCATAGGGAAGAAAAATGTGGGCTGGATATGGAGGGGGGAAGGAGGGTCGATGTGGAGCTGCCTGTCACTAGCAAGGTTTTATGGGACAGAGGAGCAGATCAAATTCAGCTGAACAAGCCAAACAGACCAGAGTCCTGAAGCTCCGAGGCCCATCTGTGCCTCACACTCATGTCGGGGTCTGGGTTTAGACCTGTATGCCCATCAAAGCATCACTCTGCCCAAAGGCCCGCCCCCTATTCAAGCACTCCTCCTGTTGTCAGGCCAGACAGCGTCTTTTCCTGGACTAAGACTGTGGCTGGGAGGTGGAGTGGTCATCTACCAATTGGAAGGTTGGGGGTTCAATCCCAGCCACTGCAGTCAACATACCGACACTATGTATCCTTGGGCAAGATGATTTACCCCATATTGCTCCCAATGACATGGCCAATTGTGTGAACGTTAGTTCCCTGAGCTTTCCTTGTGTGAATGCTAACTATTTGTATTTGTAAAGACAAGTGGTAAAAGTGGTATATAAATGCAGTCCATTTACCATTTGAACTACCACCTAAATAATATTAATAATGGTAATAATAAGCTTTATTTGTATTGCACTTTTCATGCTTTAACAAGGCACACATCACAATTTAAAATACAACAAGAGTACATGATATAACTAGGGCTGTCAAGTTAACGCGTTAATAACGCGTTAATAACGCGTTAATAACGCGTTAATAACGCGTTAATAACGCGTTAATAACGCGTTAACGCAAAAAAAAATGAACGCCACTAATTATTTTAACGCGATTAACACATGTGTATTTTTTGTCCTCGGCCGCCGTAGTTTCAGAGCGCATCGAGTGTAAAATACCATCGACAAGCTGATGCTGACAGCCCCGCTCCTGCCGCCCGCTTGTGGCAGACCACACTTCCACGCTCACTGGCAGGCCCGGACTGGCCATCGGGAGGACCGGGAGGGAGTGTGTATGTGTGGCGCGACTCGCGCGAGCGAGGCACACCTTACGTGTTGTTGTTGTTAGCATCTGGTGCTAGCTAGCTGCGCTAACGGATATAAGGAGCTGTTTCAATGACATTTCGCCGACAACTGCGCCGAGCACTTGACTTTATGCAGGTAGCCAGACAGTGGGACATTGTACGAAAAGTCAGCACACTCAGCACGGATAGTACGCGCAACATTATTGCAGCGTCCAGGCAGCTCCCATTCGAGCATATATGCCTTGAGCTGCACATAGCTCAACGATCCATCACAGTGTCTACACACACACACACACACACACACACACACACACACACACACACACACACACACACACACACACATTGTATGAGAGAGGTTCCAGGTTGAATTGAGGTGAATATTTGTAATGTTCAGAGGTTGTTGTGTTTAATATTCATGAGAATATTTGTCATTGTTCAAATGATAATAAACAAACATATAAAGCATATTTGTCCACTCATATGTTGATAAGAGTATTAAAAACTTGAAAGATATCCCTCTAAGGTACATTTAGAACAGATAAAAAATGTGCGATTAATTTGCGATTAATCGCGATTAAATATTTTAATCGACTGACAGCCCTAGATATAACAGTTTAACACTTTAAGAGACGCAGCAGGTAAAATGTATGATAATACAAAATAAAACACGATCAAATAAATAGTGATTTTTCTCGATAAAATTAAGGAAGACTAAACCAATAAATACGATAAAATATAAAAGCCTATTCAATAAATAAATCAATAAATGGTAGTGGGTTCTCCTCAGACCTAACGTTGTCAGTCAGAGAATGATTTGTCTTCTTTGTCATTGTAATCAGAAACACAGTAGCGCAAGCTGCAAAATATTCTAAATATATTCATGTCCTAAAAGTGATGCAAATCCAAACTTGATTGTATTAAAAAAGGAAAAGGATGATGGGAAGTTGTTGAATGAGTGCAATCAAGTATTCTGAAGCATATATTTAAACTAAGAAGTATATGAAAACCTTTCAGTAACAGCTCTAGTAAAGATTTCCTTTACTAGTGTTTCTAAAGCAATCAAAACACATATTGTGTACGAATTCAACCTCACAGCTCCATGGGTCTAAGCGATAGATGCCCCATCAGAAACTCTGTAGAACACTACAGATGTCTTGCTTCAACTTTCAATCTTGAATTAGTGTCATCTTGTTGAATATTAAGCTAATTTGCTCAATGACAATCACTGGCTCACTTATCATGAGCCAGCAGGCTGTCATGGTGGCTATTTGTCTCTTGGTTACCCCAATGAATGGGCGATGACATGACATGATTGGTTTACATGAGGTTATATATTTGGCTCTTATATACTTGTTGTTTTTGCAACAATTAGTATTCAGGAGTTAGGGTTAGGGTTAGGGTTAGGAGGATCCTATTGGAGGTAGTAGTTAAGGGAGGCCTTTAAAGTCATTGAGGAAGGATTCAGAGTCTTGTATCAAGTTGTCCTTCAGGAGGTTCTAGCAAACATTGAGTAGTCCTTAAGCTATTGTAGTCATTGAGGAGGATCATAGCGTTCTATAGATTAAAGCTGTAATGTTAGAGTTCTACCCTGCTTACAGATGGTGTTATCATACAGCTTAGTTGAATACTCAATTCTGATCTGATCCATCAGGACATTCTGCTATTTCTAAATAGCAGTCCGCTGCTAGGTTTACCAGACCATTGCTAAGAACGTTCTGATCTAAGGACCATATACAGTCATATCAATGCTCAGAATAGACATTTTTATATTTATGGAGTGCATAAAATGTTGGATTCATGATGGCTTAACTGTCCCCACTAAAGAAAAGAACAGGAGAACAATATAAAAGAGAAAGACAAGAGGTTTAAAGACTATGATCAAGCAGAAATCAGCAGAAGGCAGACAGAAAGTTACACTAAAGGGAACATGTTTCGGGCTCTGGCACGGACAGTAACTTGAACAGTTACATGGCAGACAAACTCAACCAATACAACCATCATATTAGGTTACCCTGCTATCATTGCAATACAATCATTTGTTTATGATTTATTTACTGAACAGCCGTGTAATAAGCTGGATGGTGTTTTACTAGTGGATGTTAAGGTATTTTTTGTGTTTCTAAAATGCCTTTTCGGTGGTTCTATTTCACTTTGATGAGGTTTAAGGTTTTTGTTGTGGTAGTTAAACACCCAGTTCAAGGAGCATTGAAGCTGTTAAACCCTTGGTGTTGTTTTTGACTTGACTGTAATTAGTAACCAATCTATATTACCTTTGATGGAACAGGTCTCAGTCTTCAGACTTTGAATTAGTATTTCTGCTCTTTGAATAAAGTAGCTTGGCTTTTTTTTTTTTTTTAATTGTATAACACTGCCCCTCCCTCCCTCTCCCTTCATACTTAGTTATTGATGTTTACTTGATGGGAACATTTGGACCTGAAGACTGATGGCTCTTTACATCAGCCTTGAAAAGCCTCTTTTCAGCTCCATCTCTTCCGGGTTAGTTTTTTCCGCTGACAAGTTCTTTTTCTAGACTTTTATGACATTTTCCCCTCGTGTGTCATTGCAACATTATCCATCATAAAAGGTGCAGTTTGTTTATGTCAATGGCTGCTTTCGATTCTGTTTTAAACCGTTGTCGGATTTGGGACACTG